TTTGTCATTTGCATCATTCACAGAGCAACTAATCGAAATTTCACGATGTCTAACTGATATTTTTTTTTATCTCGCCTTTTCCCTCTCAGACCATCCCGCCAGACCAAGAGCTGCTTGTCTGGTATGGAAACACTCAGAACACGTTCCTGGGAATCCCTGGAGTTCCCGGAACCGAAGAAGAACACCAGAAGAAAGGCAGAAATGGTGAGAAGCAGGTTTTATTTCACTGTGAATGAAAAAGGAGCTACTTAAAAAAAAAAAAATCACGGTAACCACGTGAAACTCGAGCTGAAAAGGTTTTCAAACATCTCCTGCTTTTTTTTTCTCCCCAGATGACTCCCACCCCTGTGACGGCCCTTCCTCGTGCTCCCCCTCCTCCTCCTCCTCCTCCGCCACCCCCTCTTCATCCACGGGTCGGATGCGCTGCGTCATCTGCCACCGCGGCTTCAACTCCCGCAGCAACCTGCGCTCGCACATGCGCATTCACACTCTGGACAAGCCCTTCGTCTGTCGCTTCTGCAACCGGCGCTTCAGCCAGTCGTCCACTCTGCGCAACCACGTGCGCCTGCACACCGGCGAGCGGCCCTACAAGTGCCACGTGTGCCAGAGCGCGTACTCCCAGCTGGCGGGCCTCCGGGCGCACCAGAAGAGCGCACGGCACAAACCAGTGGCTGCCGGAGCCGATGCGTCCTCCCAGGTGTCCCCTCCTCCCCCACAAATGACAGCCGTACCCCACCAGATGCCCCTGGTGCACCACATCCCAACCATGGTGCTATGATGACGGAAACACTGGAAGGACTGCCAGGCAGGACGACGTTGCACTTTAGATTAGAGCCGATTAGAGCAAAGGGTGCTCAGTGAAAGGAAAACACGAGTCGAGGTGACGGTGAAAGCATTTCTCGCCTAATTTGTTTTTGCGTGTTTCTTTTTGTCAGAAATCATGCTTTAATTTTTGTGTTTTGGGAGATGAAAGAAAGAGAGAAAAGACAACCCATATTTCGTTTTTATATCATTTGTTATCAGTGATTCTGTGCGTAATCCTTAAATCTAATTGATATGTTTGCATCAAATCCTCACCAGCTCAGGTGTAAAGTACCATCACAGATGTGTACAGTCATGTGAAACAAAGGGATGTACATGGTTTCCGCTGCATTGTTCCACACTGTAAACTAAAATAGTCACTTTAACGTTGTACAGACTGGGTACTTTGGAGAGTTAGGTAATTATATAAAAAATGGAATTGTATGCTACTGTACATGTGAATGTAAATACATTTGTGCTTTCTTCTATTCTAAATAAATGATATGATATTGCATGTGGTGGTGTTTCAGTTATTTTCATACATTAGTTCATCATTAACCATATGCCCAAGTTTTATTATCATATGTAAAAGCATCATGTTTCCCTGGACGGTTAGATTCTTTCTTTACTTTCTACAACTGATCCAAATATTTAAAGGAAAGTCAACATATAAAATAGAAACATAGAATAAATGATATTGGTTTGAGTCCTCTCCCTATCGTCAGCATGCAGGAGAAGAATTTAGTGAATTAAATCAGTGAAGTTGTTCTTCTGAAATGTTGCGTGTGCCTCAGGATTAAGCTTTTTTGGCTGTGTCTGTGTCTCTGGGTTTCGGAGTGTTTGTTGCCCATGTGTTTGTTTGTTTTTTAAAATACATATAAATGGAGGCAAAAAGGGATGAAACATAATGTTCAAAAACGTAGATGCTTCTCTAGCTCATTGGCTCATCATTTTTGGCCTGGACTTGTAATAATCTTTGCATCATAACAATTATTATAAGTAGTTAGATGGGCATCTAAGGAGCTTGGAAAGAAAGCGACCGGAGTTCTTTCAGTTTCTTGAAGACGTTTCACCTCTCAGCCAAGAAGCTTCTTCAATTCTAAAACCAAATGGTGGAGAGCCCCTGGTGTTTAATCCCCAGTGGAAGTTGTCCCTTAAGATTGTCAATGACCCACTATTGATCATTTGCCTCATCATGGTCAGTTACCAGAAGATGAGGTGCTGAATTTTAACAATAAAAAGTTAATATGCAGTGTACAGTATCAAAGTACTGACCGACATGGATACTTTAACATATTTGGTGTAATCCCATTAACAAGTAGTTGGCGTGTTTTTATGATCAGTGCATATTTCCTGCGTTGCCATGGTGTTTTCATAAACCTTGGAAATATTTTTATAATCCTGCACGCTCAGCAGACTGATCCCCAACAAGTTCTACAGCCTGAAACAGTTTCTTCCACAGGATGGCGCCAGAGACACTAGAGAGAAGAGATGGTTTCACAAAAAGGTCATTTTGTGTGTTTTTTATGTGCTATCTTTGCTCATATTGGTAAATAGACTGTAGGGGTTATATGATTGTCTGTTACTGTAACTCCTGTGTGCTCTCTATTATAACCAGTCCAGTCCTTTTTGGCCACTTCAGATATTTTTATACGACTGTTATTTTATATTTGTTGCATTTTCTGCCCCACTCTTGGCCAGATCTCTCTAGAAAAAGACAATTTTTATGTCAGTGACACTTTTTAGCTCGATAAATAAAAGTCACTTTACTGAAAACTGATTGCAGCCTCGCTTTGTACGAGCAATCGTCGTTCTTCTTTTCTTTTCGTTTCTTTTTTTTTGGCAAATACTGGAAATCACTACTTTACTGGAAACACACCAGGAAATACAAAATGAAACATCCTGCACAACTCTTTATTGGTTAAAGTCATGATGTGACATGATGACCTGACTGATGCTGCTGTATTTGTCAGCTGTCAGACATTATCCAGCTTCCCAAACAGGAGTTTTTAGATAAGTCATCATTATAACAAGCACAGAGCAACACAGAGTCAGACCAGAGCGGAGATTAAACACTTTGCAGGGTGTCCGGGTGGAGAAAATGTGGCTGTCGTTCCTCTCCGCACCGCTGAGAGGAATTAGGAAGGCTTTTGACTGGATGTCGCTGCATCATCAGACACTGTCCACACTTGCTTTCCTGGAGAACGAGGTAAGTAACAGCATGTTTAGGACAACTCTGCAGATTATTGTTCTGAAATGATACCATGTTACCCAATGATGAACACCTTTACACTTGTATGCCTCTCCTGATGATGTCCCGTCCTTTGCTGAGGAGCAACAGCAAGACACGACCCAGGCAGCCACATTGTGCAGCGCTAAATAAAGACAGAAACTTTATCTGTCTGTTATCTGTTGCAGCATTAGCCTAGCCTCTTCTGCTGAGATAATGGTGCAGCAGGTAAACTGATCCCTATCAGGTGTAACATATGCCATTAACACATTCACCCAGGATGCATGTCAATGTTTTACGTCTTTATTTCATTAAAAAAATAAAACAGCGGTGAAAATGTTGCTTATCTAAACAAAAATAAATGCATTACTCACATTATTTAATTAATAAATATATTCAATAATAAATCTTTATGTTTAAAACTTTAGGAAAAAATCTAGGGAAATTTAAAATCTTACCAGAACATATCAGTCACAGCATGGCTCCACGTCAGTGTTTTCTTCACCGGTCAGTCTTGTCTCAGATCTTGTGTAGCTGGTCAGTAGTCAGTGTTATATGTGCAGTGACAGTGCCAACCTAATGACTCAGCTATTTTTCAGTCACACAGGCTTCAGTACACAACTGGGGTGTCAGTTTACCACGAGCCACCACTCCTGTTACTGCCCTTCATTTCTCCATTGTCTGCTTACTTCATGGGCAAGAAAAGAAAATGAGATAATTTACTGATGCTAATAAAATGGCTTTTTATAGGGGTGGTGTATATTTTTACACTCATATGAAAAAAAGTTTTCCATCAGCTTTTTCTTAATTTTCCATCCAACGTCACCATGTCAACATAAATCTTAGAGCTGAAACGAGGTTGGAGAAATAAAGTAAACAGTTTATTTTATGAGTTTTCTTTTTGCATTTCTCTTTTTGCATTCATCAAAACAATCACATTATTTGTGTATGTCTGTTTGTGTGTGTTGCATCACTTTACATAAAAAAAAACATAAACAAGAGTAAAAAACTACCCAAAAATGTGTTATATCTATTAGCAGAAACTGAGTTTTCTTCTCTGTCTCTCATCTAACTAAACATATCAAATTCAGAGTTGGAGATGATGATGATGATGATGATGATATGAGTCATAAAATATCCTAAGTGTAAATGCTGAACAGGCCGAGTTAACTTTGTTGAAGTTACTTTTATGTCTTAAGGAAGGAGACAAAAGATTTTGCATCGATTGGTTAGACAGAGGGATCGAGCTGGAAAGGATTAGCAGCAGCTTTGCGTGATTAAAGAAAGAAAGAGAGAAAAGTGTGTGTCAGGAAGGTGGAAGGAGGACTTTGAGGAGTTGATGAACGGTCACAGCAGATGGAAGAGAGCATGGAGAGGTGAAGGTATCCTCTGGAGAGAAGAGGAATAAAAGTCAGTCGAAGCAAAACCGAATACATGTGTGCGAATGAGCAGGAGACAGTGGTGAAGAAAAAAGGTGGAGGTGGGTGGAGACGAGTGTCAGGGTTGACTTGTGACTGATAGATAGCAGCAAGCAAAGGCTTACAAGATGACAGTGAGACCTGAGATGTTAAGATTAGAGAGGAGTATCTCAGCGGGTTGGGGGGTTTGGAGACACAATTAGAAAGACAAGGCTGACATGTGCAGAGGATGTTAATGATGAAGCTGCCAAACAAAAGAGGACGACCACAGAAGGGGAACATACAGAGGTTTGGTGTGACATAACAGGATACTAGAGTGATGCAGATGATCAGCTGTGGCGACCCCTAAAGGGAGAAGCTGAAAGAAGAAGAAAACGATTATGCAGTTAAATAAAATAGAGTTGCTTTAGTAATCTCAATATGACACAACATTTATTCTTTATCTTTACTTTTGACTTTTAAATCAATTTTTCCGAACTCTTCTGTCGGACTGCATACGTTAAAGTTCCTCTGTGTGTGTATCGATTATTCTGCCATCTATTAGTAGCGTCTGTCCGCCTCGTAGCTGCTGCAGGATTGTTGTCATTTTCTGTGGCTAGCGTTTAGCGCTGGCTAGCCGTTGGATTTTTCTCTCCAACATACTCTGATCCAGCAGGTGGGTTGTGTCATTAAACCTGTATGAAGCGAGGCTCTTTAAATTAGTCAACGAAAGCTTTTAGTTGTAAAATTAGCAGCTAGCAGTCAATATTGAGTGTTGCCGGGCGCAGCTAAAAGTTGAAAACAAATGTCAGCTAACAGCTAGCTGCATTCTTAATAAGTTAGCTCGCTTAAAGCTAGCTACATAGTCTTCTGCTGTAGCTGAAAACGAAACTCTTTTCCAATTTAGACTGGCAAACAAATACAAACGTTTACTACTTAAAACGTATTTCTACAGATGTCCGGTTTGTGAGGAGGAAGGCTAGACTGGTTTGATTTCACTGTAAACATAGTACCCGACATAAAATGTCCATGTTAGGTCATCGTTTCACGACGGTCCCTCACGGAAGAGCTGGGGACGTTTACTCCAAAGTTGGAGAGGGTGTCGATCACATTTTTAAAAACTCAGTTCACGTAAAATTTTCCGTTTTGCACTTTTGTGATGTAAGGAAATGCCACGCTAACATGGCCCTGTTCCAGCTGCTGTGAACAGGACTCGACATGTCAGCTCTCCCTTCCTTTCAAAATTCTGCAAATAAAGCAGGTTTTAAGGATGAGGGCAGGTCGTAGGTTCACTGACATCATGATGATGTCTTTAATGGGCCGCTGTCTTTGCGCTGCAACAGCTGTCAACAGCTGTCTGGCTTCAGATAATCTCATTAATGGTGGAGCCACAAAAATATGCAGCACCCTGACTGGTTATTTTATTTTAAAAGTGTAGCTGAAATTTTCATTATAATTGAGCTGAAATGAACAGAAAACGCTAATGCTAGAAGCTGGATCTGTATTTGTTCTTTACAGCTCGTGCAATAAATAATAAAAATAGAATTTCAGTCATATCTCAACTGACTGGAGTCAGAATAGGAGTTAATCTCATGGAGCCTGAGTGATGTCTTTATTTTACATTGTGTGTTTTATAAAGCAGTGAATGAGGTTTTTTATCCTTGGTTGAATCTCAACCAAAATACAGCAAATAGAATATAAAATGCAATATACTCACATGGATAACATAAAAAGGATTATAAATGTGCAGTCATAAAAATATTTGTTTGGACAGCTTTAATTTGGAGTTGAAAGAAGCTCACAGAAACTGTCCAGTTTCCTTCCTGGCTTAAAATGGGCTTTTGGAGTTAGACCACATAGATAAGCGTGATTGGTCAAGATAAAGTTGCAATTCTGTACATTTTCCTGCCATTTCTGACCATTTAATGATCAAAAATATATTTTAAGTTTACTTTACGGACGTGTAGACTGTTGAGGGTGTACCCCATCTCTTACCTCTTGGGAAATACTCCACAAACCTCATTTAAAGTGCTTAAAAATGTATTTTTTAAATCATTGTCCTTGTGGTTTTTCTCTGGCCAAAACCTCTTTGCTATTAGTCAGAGAATGGCTTATATTCAGATGAAACCCTGAGATATAATATTGCTGCTAATTTTTCTAACAACAACAGGGACTAATTAATCATCATCACCTAATATGTAGCAGTCCGGGAATCCATCAGCTAATTTTTCCCTCTGGAGACAATGGTCAATATTTCCGGGCCAGAGATATCTGAGACAAGACTTCCTGTTTTGATGATTTCGAGATGCACATCGACAAATGAGTTCCCTATTTTGGTATCCTAGCAGATTTTTTATTTTTTTTAAACCTGAATGCAGACACAGACTGCTCAAACACAAAGCCAAAAAGCTTCATAAAAAGTTGGCTCTTTTATACTTTGTGCCTGAAACCTTTGCACAGCACTATACTATACCCGTGTGTGCGTGTTACTCAGGATGTTAGGATGGAGTGTGGCCCAGTTCTGCCGGACAGCCTGGTGTTGGAGATCTTTCTGCGTCTGCCCCATGATGCTGTGCTGAGAGCTGGTCTGACCTGCCGACAGTGGCTGGCTGTCTCCAGAGATGAGTTCCTGTGGAGGGAGCTGTTCTACAGCTACTACCGCATTCCCCGCTTGGTACCCCGGCACCCTGGTAAATATCTTTATTATTTATTTGTTTCTGAGAGGAATTTAGTTACTGCTGAAATGTTCTCTCATTAATTCCAAAACCTGCCTGTGTGCAGCGGCTGTATCGTGGTACAGGGAGTTCAAGCGTCTGTTTGACTGCATCCCCTGTGTGGAGGTTCAAACTCTGAGAGAGCACACCGACCAAGTCCTTCACCTGGCTTTCTCTCATCGGGGTCACCGCTTCTCCTCCTGCTCAAAAGACTGTACTGTTAAGGTAAGATATGCTGCTGAGGTTTCTTATTGTCTATGGAGGACAAGGGGACACTTTTACTCAATTTTAGGTATTTTACTCATCTGGGGGGGTTGTTGCAGAAGATCAGTGGCAACTTGCACAAACAGTGCAAACAGAGTAAGGGAAAATGTCTGACTACCTGTGCAGCAATGTCTTGCTGTCCAAATACATAGTGAGTATTACTCCAGGCCATAAAGTGCAAAGTATGCAGCAGTGCTCGCGGAAATTAGTGGACAACCAATGGCACAACTGAAGTACTCAATACCATCACGCAAAGAAAAAAATAAAGTGTTGAGAGGACGAATAGAAGTGTAGTGGAGAGTCATGATTCCTGCTCAATCATCCAGCGCTTCCCACTGAAAACGCTTCATCCAGATGAACAGAGTCAACTTTCTGGGACAAAATCTTTCTATTTTTTGGTTAAATACTGTTCGTAGAGTCGTGATTAATTAGAAAAAAAATTCTTATTTGTCTAACAGTGATCAGTGTCATCTGTGACTGCAGTGGTTCAAGGAAAATGATGAGTAGTGTCAAAAAGTTTCGTGCTCTAAGAAGTTTTTATAGAAATGGTGATGCTGAAAGCTTGCATAGGCCATTTTTTATTTCTCACAGAATATTACCAAGAATAGACGAGGGACTTGCTAAATATTCAGCCCTGTGAGCAAAACCGATAGTGGCGTTGGTTTCTCTAAAGTCTTATCAATATCCATCCTGCACATTCTCTCACATCTTCTCTCTTCCTGTGTGCAGCTATGGGACACTGAGCGGCCAGATGGTAATATCTCCTTGGTGCACAGCTCCAGCATGCGGCAGTTTAACTGGGGCTACACCCAGTTCTCCCAGTTCAACGCTGATGACAGCCTGCTGCTCGTCTCGGGTGTCTACCTGGGACCACACCACTCGTCATCAGGAGAAATCGCTGTCATCAGTCTAGGTAGGAACCATGACATACTCCGAATTGCTTTTGAAACCTCATGAACATCATTAAATAGCTTGATTTGATTTACATAGTTCAGGCTCAAAGAAGGAAAAAATACTTTTTTTAAATTTTGCGATTAATAATTACATTTCTGAATGAACTTCCATGTTAAATGCCATTTTTGGTCACATTTTATGGTGTAAGAGCCTTCACCCAACTTCATTATCCAACTCTCCAACTATGAGGTTATGCTCAGGGTTACTCATCGAACTGACAAGTCATTTAAAACGTCACGTGCTAGTCTAAGCTGCATTTGTTCATTAACCCCTTAGCAGTCCAATTAGTCCCCTAAACCATCCAATGTACCGTGGGCGGTACGTCCGACTGCTAACAGGTTAACGTGTTCTCTGTGACGCTCTCCCCATTCGATGCGTTGCTACAGAAAATTACACGCTGTTGTCGCGGGTCCGGAACAAGCCCTATGATGTCTTTGGCTGCTGGCTGAATGAGACCCACCTGATATCTGGAAACCTGCACTGGATAGGCAACATGACATCCTGCTCTGTGCTCTGGCTCAATAAAGCCTTCCAGGTGAGACCATAGACTGTAGCCTTGATATTATTATTATAAAATCTGCCATGCAGTTATCATAAAGGAGGAAATGAGCAATATGTGTAGTCGAGTGGAAAATGTGTGTTTCCCCTGATTTAACCTATTTTCACTGTCAACATGTGAGTCTAACTAGAGTGTGTTTGCACAGGTAGAAAGCAACTAATTGTAAGATGCGTTTGAGATCATGAAAAGCCCTCAAAGACAGCTTACATTAGTCTAGGAAATTAAAAACATATACACGCTTAAATGATAATAAAACACATAAAACCACTAAACTGTAAAAACTGATCAATAGATTGTAGACTAAGGCCATGTCATAATGAACGGTTCTGAATACATGGGATTTATGGTCCGGAGATCCGGTGTAGGCATATCCCAAAGTTTTGGGGCAGAGAAACTAAAGGCTCAGGTTATGAAAGTGAGGAGGAGGATCTAGAAAACAGGATCTTGTGTGTTATCAAGTAGGTGCTTACATGACCGTGAGCGGAAAAACCTCCCAACAGCTGAGAAAACAAAGATTGCATCCACACATTAGTAGAAAGGTGGTGTTATTTTTCTTTTTCAGTATCAAAGACTGTTGGTGAGGTATTAATCCATTTGGTTTCTTTCAATAACTCTGAGAAATTTGGTTTGTTTTCTTTTTTTCAAAGCAGCAGACTGTAAACATTTGTTTCTATTTAATTTTAATATGGCAGTGCTCTGTGGGTTTGCTCTTGTTTTGGAGCACAGACTCACACATCTCTAAAATCTTGCGTATATTCAGCAAATTCAATAAAATCGAGGAGCTCGTGGTTATGAATATATGTGAGCATGTGCAGCGGTGGGTTTCCAGGGGAAAAACAAAAAATAAACGTTCCTTTTCTGCAACAGGATATCGAATCGGAGAACGTCAACGTGGTCAAGCGCCTTTTCAAGATCCAGAACATCAACGCCAGCACCATTCGCACGGTGATGGTGGCCCACTGTCGGCGGCACGATAACCCGGACTTGCTGTTGGACTATGAAGCTCAGTCTCAGGCCCGAAGGCAGAAGGGGCAGCAGCAGCACCACCACCAGCCTCTCCTCTTTGACTTGGCAACGTCCGGTAGCGAGGAAGAAGAGGAGCAAGAAGAGGAGGAAGAGTGCCAGAGGGGAGCGAGAAGTCACGGCCTCCCCAGTCCTCGTCTCCCTCAGCCGACCATGTCGGGACTGGAGCACGTTATACATGTAAAGAATCTGTTTGGCTTTTGTTTTGGTTTTTTTAGCTTTTTCATTTTTTAAATTCAATTTCTTTTGTTGCACTTTCCTTCTTCCTCCCAGAGCCGAAAAAACGTGGGGCAGAAGGAGCTGGAGATTGAGACCCAGGTGGCTCAGTTGATGGGCAGAGCCTACACGAAGCCCCCTGACCCCAGCCTCACTGAGCCGTCCGAGTCTGGGGAAGAAGACAAAACGTACTTACTCTTCACCACCGGCAGCCTTACATACTCCCCTCACCAGATAGGTAACAAAGTTATTCAGCAACGCTGCGATATTTTCTCAAAATTGTGCCAACCCTCTCTCACCTGGAAGCTCCTTTTTCACTTTCCAGGCATTAAGCGAATCAGGCCTGAACAGATGACCACTTCGGGGCCTGTTCTCGGCGAAGAGCGAAGTTCAGACGAGTTCTTTGATTCCCTGGATCATGTTATTGATATCCACGGTCACATCATTGGCATGGGCCTTTCTCCAGACCACAGGTAATCAAATGAGAAACATTTGAGCTTATTTGATCCTGTATCAGCTTTTTAGTTTAACATCACTTCTCCTCTGTCATTGGTCAGATACCTGTATGTTAATAGCCGGGCTTGGCCAGCTGGATGTGTGATCTCAGACCCCATGTCTCCGCCCCCCATCGCCGAGGAGATCGACCTGCACGTGATTGACCTGAAGAGTTTGAGAGAGGAGAGAAGAAGCCTGCGCGCTCATCGAGCTTTCACACCCAACGATGAGTGCTTCTTCATCTTCCTGGACGTCAGCAGAGACTTTGTTGCCAGGTGTGTTTGTTATTTTATTCCTCAGACACAGAAGTTTTTCACACTTGAGCCACTCTCCACTGGGCAACGGAAAAGGAAGCGATACTGCAGTGTTGGGTAAACGTGCTCACCATTTCACTGCTCAGGATGTAAGAAATTCCCTTTTTTCGTTTTGGCACAGTGCGTCACAGTGTGTCAGTTGTACATGACGTTATTTCTAGTAACAGGGGTGTGTCAGAAGTTAAAACAGTAATCAGACAGCTCGTTTGAATGAAGACGCTGCTTTCGGATGTTGAGGTTTACACTCAGGACGTGTCAGTCGTGAGTTTGAGCAAAAAGAAAACAATGAAGCAGAAACAAAATCTTCCCTCGAAACCGAGAAGAATCTGTTCAGTATGATGGGTGCTGTAATGAAGAGATTTTCCACTTACTGTCCATATTATTCCCCCACTACTTATATAAAAACAAATATTTCCCATGGCATGTGAAGATTTTTGTTGAGAGTGACAAGGATAGAAGGACAGCTCGGATTGAGCTGGTTTGGATATGTACGGAGGAGAGATGGTGGGCATAACGGACAGTAGATGTTGAAGAGTTGCCAGGCAGGAAGAAAAGAGGTAGACCAAAGGTTCATAGATGCAGTGAAGTGTAGATCCACAGCCGATATATCAGCAAGTTTGATTTGCTTCAGATTTCTCACCAGATAGAAACCCACAACTGAGACTCGGTTGGTGTCTCCTCCTAGTCCCAAACTGGTGATCTTTTGCATTTTAGGGAAATACGATACCGCATACTGTACCATACTACACGATACTATCGCAGGTTTATTTGTAAAGCACTTGAAACCAACCACATGGACCAAAGTGGTGTACAGAAGAATAAATAAAAGACAAAAAAACCTAGTAGATGAACACAAATGAAATAAAATGTGTTCATAGATAAATATTAATAATCATATGCTGTTGTTTTAAGGGGTTTGTGGGCTGTGATTGTATGTTTATGTCTGAATAACTCAAATTCTGAACTCTGGTTTAATAGAAATATGTATAACACAGTTTTGTTAAACTCACTATTCACGATTTATTTGATTGAAACGTTGATGAGGTAAAAGCGCTGCGTAACCACACACAGCTCCAGCTTCACAGGGGACTACCTTGATCTATTTCAAAGTAAAGTAAACGTATTCATGTGTTTGTCAGTTTTCATTGATATTCACTGCAAATGTTTACACACTAAATCAAACGCTCGGTAACCGCTCTGACTTACCCTCCAATCTCCCACCTGTAGTGGAGCCGAGGACAAGCACGGCTACATCTGGGACCGTCACTACAACATCTGTCTGGCGCGTCTGGCACACGACGATGTGGTGAACTCGGTGGCGTTCAGCCCCGCCGACCAGGAGCTGCTGCTGTCCGCCAGCGACGACTCCACCATCAAGGTGTGGCGTTCGCCGCGAATGATCCGCCTCGCGCAGGCCTCCGCCCGGCCGCCCAGACCACGCAGCCTCCTGCCGTCCTGGCTGAGCCGCAGCAAGAACTCCTGCATCAACGGAAAACCATGAGTCAGGCTGGAAAACACTTGAAGCGGGAGGGGGAAGCATGGTGAGGAAAGTCTGATCTTTTTCCTTTGTGGTATGAATATATACACACTCCATGTATGTGTACAGCGTGGGCACGCACAGTCTGTTGTTTTCGCTTGAGCTCACGGTGTCGTGACCTAAAGCAGTGACTGATTCAGCTGACAGGAAACGATAGCGGCTCAGACACAAGGGGGCGCTGTTGTGCCAGCAGAACTGACTGCAGACAGAAATAATACGCACAGGTAGAGATGTAGAGAGTGTAGAGCTGTCTCCTAAACACAGATGCCCAAAAACTGCTCCCCTGAAAGATGGTTGTTCTCCTTTTTTTTTCTTTTTTTTCTTTAAAAAAAAAATCAGTAAAGTTGCGTCCGAACAGTTTGGACTCCTGGATGTGACGTACACATGTATACAAAGGTCCTGCTCCTTTAGGGCAAAGTGCAACTGAGAATAAGCTGAGAAATGTTCGTTTTCCTATCAGCGGCTGTATCCAATTGACGTCTCGAGTTAAAAGTTCCTCATAAACGCTTTTCTCAAAGATTTTATAAAAGAGTATAAAACGAAAAGGGAAAAGGAGTTTGAGCTGCATTTAATGTGGTCTGCTTTTTTTGTTTGTTTGTTTGTTTTTTGTCTGTGCCCGGGAAATGATTCATCACTATTCTATTAAATGTAGAATTACTGAGCAGTTTAATATAAGAGGAACCGCTGGCTGTGAAGAAGAGTTGTTTGTGTAGCTGAGTGTTTATTGGATCTGTATAATATAAAAATGTATTTAAACCCTTTTCATTCATTAGCATCACAACGCTGCACCCTTTATTTTGCAGAATTTTGTTAATTAATTTTGCTTTTCTTATTTAGCAACATATTGTGTCCCCCCTCTGGAGAAAGAAACTTTACAAGTAGAGCCTTTTTAGGCAATTACCTAAATCGGGGATGTCAAATTCATTTTATGCTGTGGGCCACTTTGATCTGAAGAGAACCAGAGCAGTAAAAACATTTAAGTAAACCTTTAATCCCTGACATTCAACACTACATGATCGTTTTTCTACATGATAAATGTGTAAAATTGCAGAAAAAGTGGTAGCACGTTGCCCAGACTGTCCTGTATTTATAAAACGTAAAGGTTTTGTTAATTACTCTTTTGTTAAACTGTGGACCCACGTTTTTTTTTTTTTTGGTTGATAGTGTAAAAACAGGAATCTGTTACTTAACTGCTTTGGTGTGGTATGAATGGGGGAGGTCTGTGTGAGTCAAAAAAGCTGCAAAACTTATGAAAATACAGTAAAAATTTCCAAATCTATGCAATCTTTTCCAAAGCCGTCCATTGAAGTCTTTGCCGGGCCCATTATGGTCCTCAGGCCTTATGTTTGACACCCCGACCTCGAGCTCCAATTGGTCCTGTGGATTTTAAATGAAAGCCGCCGTTCTCCAGTTTGTCCACAGACTGCTGAACAGTGCTGTAGTGTATAGATAACTAATGTATCTCCTTAAGGATTAGAAGGCAGTGTTAATCTTTATTTTAATGTGGCACACATGTAACTTTTAATGTCACTCTTTTTTTTTTTTTTAAACATTAATATGCTGTAATAAAGATATTCAGTGGATTTCATGTTGTAACTTACGTTGCGTACCAGTGCCACAGACTTTTACCCAAAGCAAAGCAATAATGAGTTTCATGGACCTTTCAGGTTGCACAAGTGGCGCCTATTACTTGAAATTAAATTCAGTTTAGAAATGCTTAAAAATATTTTGACTAATTTTATTAGTCTTTTTTTGGTAAGTTGACAAGAAACAACAGATTAAAAACACTTCCACAGAAACAGAAAGTTTAAAGGACTGAAGACAAATTGTGTCGAAATGTCTGTTGGTATTTACATCATACTTTAAGTCTCCTTTGAGGTGCTTTTGCTGGTAAACACAAAGCAAAACAAAAAGTAACGCATGGTTACAGCTACAGTTCAACCAGCACAAAGGTACTTTACTGGCTTCTTATTTACATTTCCACGCAGATGCCTGTTTAAAGAGGACGTGACTGATTTTAAAACATGGCTTTAATTATGATTGGGCGACTGTTTCACTTGTTGACTTTTCAGAATCCCCTGTGAATCCGACACTTGAACAAGCAGGTTTCATTCAACTGAACAGTGTTTTGTTTTTTTCCCCCCATGTTTTTAAATTTGTTTAAAAAGTCACAAACTTTCTCCTTTTTTCCCCCCCGAGCTCCCCTTTCACTTCCTCCTCATCACACTGTCATGTTTTGCCAATGTTTGCTTCCTCATGATCATTTTTTTCCAGCTTGTGTTCTTTTCAAAACCTCCAGGTTAATAAAGCGCATGCCCTGCAAATCCAGAAAACTGAACATGTGTCAGACTGATATTCTTTTCTGCCAATAAAATGTTGCTTTCTTGTGCAGTTTTTGATTAAAAGTTTTGAAAAGAGAGCTCAATGCATGCTTAGCCTTATTGTTATTGCCTGTTTGCAAGTATTTGTCAGTTAATGAAGTTTAGAAATCGACCCTGAGCGCTCTATTGGTGCAGTTTGAGTTTTCTCCAGTATCAGAGTCAAATCTAAAAATAGACACATACTACACAGGCATATTTTTAGCTTCTGTGTGAATTACATTTTCCATCAAAGTGTCAATGCCGCTTACTAATAGTCATGTAGGGGGAAAAAAGTACATCCCTGGTAACTGTTGTCTCTATTTTTGACATTTTTAGACATTTTATTTTTGATACAGCACCTACAGCACAGATAAAGATGATATATGTGAACCATACAGCAGGGAAATTTAGTTTTTTTTTTTTTTAGTAATTCATGAAATAATTTTATCCTGTGCATCTGAACTTGTATTGCCCACCTTTTCAGACAGCACTGGACTTCTTGCACATTACCTACAGGAGCTGCGTCATGCCCCGAAGCCCCCGGCGCACAACTCTTCTGCTGATGCCGCAGGAGGTTTGGAGCTCAGCAGAGAGTTGGTGACTTTTCTGTGATTTTTGCACCTCAGTCCTCAGCAGACCCGTGCTCTTTGACTTTGCGTGGTCTGCCACTTCATGGTTGAGTTGCTGTGGTTCCTAAATGCTTCCACTTTTCAGTAACACGACTTATAGTCAATTGCAGAGTATCTAGGAGGGGAGAAATTGCACCGACTTGTTGCCTTAGAGCATCACCCTTGAATTCAGTATGATCTTTAGAAAGACTCATTCATTTTTGACAGATGTTTGTAAAGGCAGACTGATCGGCTGGGTTTTTGATTTTCTTTATCTGAGGTGATGGGACTGAAAAGAGCAGAATTAAAATAGCACAGTCTTTAAATATTTCATCACCTATCTATAATATCATCTAAAAACTGGAGAAATCTTTTATGCATAAAGGGTCCTGCATGATTTGGAGCAACACCAGTTTTTACACATCTAGGATCCTACGTATATCAGACAAGAACCAGAAAGAGCCCAGTAGCTGGTCTGCTCGCTTCCAGATGTTGACAGAAGAGGGGATGTTGTTGCCATCAAATTCAAAATGAGCTCATGTTTTTCATGCAACAATAAAATGTCTGTTTAAACATTTAATATTTTTTTATGCTCTATGATGAATTAAAAAAAATGAGTTAATGAGATTTACAAAGTCACCGCATTCTGTATTTATTTAAATTTCACACAGTGTTGCAGATTTTTTAGAATTCGGTATATTTAGATATTTGACAGCAAAGTGTCGCAACTTTACTTTGGACTACATCTCTAAAACATTTAAACTAGAACAGTTTCTAGTTCCGTGGATTTGTGATAAGTAAGGGGCTTTACTTTTGTACGGTTTCAGTTTTGTGTCATTTGTTTAGCACTCACTCTTGGTCACCATCTAAGAAACGATACACGATAACTCTGGGTGAGAACAGAAGCATCAACCAAAGTGTATCAGTTATAGCTGTGTGTAGGTTAGTGGATCAACAGTTACCGGCAATAACTAATTTCAGTTATAAGGGGGCTCGAAAAAAATAAAAATAGGTCAAAAACATGGCACAGCTGCACTTGTTGTGATATCATCTGGTGACCTCACAGCCTCTGACTTTGAAGATTAGATTAGAAAGTGCGTCACCATCTAAATACTTGAGAATCTAACCCAGGGGCTTTCAGAAGAAAGATTTTCATTCCTCACGTAGTCATCGATCACACGTGCGCCGTCCCTCTGGCAGGTTCTTTCCAACCACATTTATCTCAACCATGATGAGGCATTTCCACAGCCTCAGTGAAGACCATCACTGGCATGTATAATGAGTCATTTTGTGTTCTTCTATCATACTAGTGGGGTTTCATTTTTAGTGAACATGCTTTGTGTGGTGAAGCTGATGTGACTGACATGAAACCTAAAAAGTGGCTGAAACATGGTTTAAATGGACTGGTTAAAGTAAAGGGGTTGCAGTTCTGGTTTTATTTGTAATTCAGCACACTGACATGCTACACATTAACACAGTCAACATTTTCAGTTTTCACCAATGTTAGCCTGAGGTACAAAGGCATTGCTGAGGCTGCTGGGAAGCAGAGTGGTCTTAAATTTCATAATCCAAGTGAAACATTTCACTCGTTCTTAGGAATTTGTTCAGTGAGCTCAGTACCTTCAGATCTACAAGGTCTGAGTGGAAGAGGTTGTTATTAAACTGTCATACACTTACATTGGAAACTCTTTGGACCTCTATTAGAGCCTCACAGAAGTCAAAGGTGCAACAACAGGACAGCTGTGCACACTGCTTCTGCTGATTTGGGCATTCACCAAAGCAGGCTTTGTGTTTCTTTGCAAGGCAGGAAGGCCGGCATATGTTTTGCTAAACAGGCTACTTAAACTTGGTTTTATGTTCACACTCTGCCCTAAAACGAATAAAAGTTCACACATTTCCCATCATTTAAAGCGCCTCCTTGACGACAGAATGGGCTGACGAGCACTTTGGATATCAAACCTTTTATATGTGAAATAGTTGGAGTTCCCCTAGAACAACGTGAAGCAAGGAAAAACAGCTACACCACATCTATATTCACAACAAACACAGCTCAACAAACACAGCTATGTTCCTTTGCTTTCGACACTGCAGCGTGGTGCTTGGGTTTTTTTTCTTCTCTTTAGCGCCCTTGCTAGTTTGCATCATCCGTTTGTTTTAGGAGAAGACATCAGGGTTTTACATAAAAGGAATCACCTGTAGTGTTATTCCTGTGTGTGTGTGTGGGGGGGGATTTTCACATTCACACGTGGTTATTTTAGAAAAAAAAAAAGACAAATATAAGAAAACATGTGGTTAAAAAAAACCCCTTTTTTTGTTTACAAGATATGTTTGACTTAAATTATTTGTGGTGC